TATACTCCAGCATCAAAGAGTTGAACACTAGTAATATTCAGTGTTGTTACTAGACTCTTACTGTCATCATTAATCATCAGTGGTGTACTCCTATTACTAATATCAGTGCTATACTGATACCAGTAATGACTAATGAATGATGTATCAGGACCTATCCCAGTATTAAGATTAACAGTACAGGTCAGTACTGCTGTAGATTTAATGGAACTGAATATTGAAGTAGGTACTACAGTCACTGAACTGATATAAATAGCTACAACATAGCAATAAAGTAATTATAATTGTATTTCCAGGATTCTTACCTTTTATTCTAAAAGTTATGACCTGTGATTGAGTACTACAGTCAGAAGGATTAGTCTCAATCATTATTCTGCAAATATATTGTGTATTATTATTATGTGATGGTAGTATTGATGGTATCATTATTGTATTATTGTTACTATAAATAGAACCATTAGTAAGTAGCCAGGATACTGATACTCCAGTAGGTACTGGTCCAGTGATACAATCAATTGAATAATACTGACCAGGGGATAGTTCTTCTGTTACTGATGGTAGAGTTTTGTTAACTGTATGTGAAGACATCACGATACAGAAAATGTTGAATTTATATTTCAGATTTTATACCTTTTATACACAAAGGCTTTGAATCAGACAATACTATATTAGATCCATTAATTGATGCATTACAAGTATATACTCCAGCAACAGTTGGTGAAACCTGTGTTAATGTCAGGGTACTATTAAATGTTGATGATGAACCAGTATTAATGATATCATCTGTTATCATTTCATTATTTTTAAACCAGTTCACTACAAGTGAAGAAACATTAGGACCAATAGCATTAGTGAGACTAATAGTACACACTATTGATACATCATCACCAATAACATAAGATGATAATGATTGGACAGTAACAGATGAGACACTGGTATCTGTAATAAACATTAATAACTAATGTACTATCATCAACTAACCTAATACACTAATAGTAATAGACTTGGTCAGATTCATAGCCAGTAAATTTGATGATACCACACAAGTGAATGTGTTGTTATTATGAGAGAGCATCACTGGATTAATGATCAATTCATTGCTATCAGTGTTGAATGATGACGGATCCCATTTTATTACACTGTTAGGGATGGAGGGCATTGTAGTACAGTTAATACTGGCACTACTACCAACAGTAAGGTCAGTGTATTGACCAGTAACATTGATATCAGGTACTATAAAGGATCAATTTACATTATATTGGGATATTATTTACTTTTCACTATTATAGAAATGCTTCCTGAACCACAAGTATAGTTTCCAGTATCAGTGCTCCTCACTTCTTGTATAGTCAGTGTACCACTAGTAGTATTGATATTGTAATAAGTATCATTACTAATGTTAGTTCCATTCAGTTTCCATTGTACTGTATCACTTTGTATGCAATGTAAGATTACACAATCACCAAGGAACACTGTTGTCAGATTATTGTAGCTTCGTTTCAGAGGTATAGTTGTATTAGAGCAAACTGTGAAATGATATAATATTTATCATAGAAATGCTAGAAAACAAATTCCCCATACCTTCATAATTTGAAAGTGTAGCTGTAATCAATATAATTATCAACAAAGAAGAGAAGCAATACTCCATCTTGACTAAAAGTTGGCAATAGTACAGCAGGCTATGCCAACCACACACCACTATACTGTAGTAATTCTGATTGGTCATCATTTACTCATAGAGTGGGTTTGCGGTACGTGGACTATTAGTTACAATAACTCACTGTCTCTTCTGCCATGTAATGTGAATTAAGCAATACTTGTACTAACATGATTTTATATTTTATATGCACAAAAAATTAGATTATTCTACCTCAGGCCCTTTTAAAACTTAAAATTAATCGTGAAAGAATTTTAATAATTAATAGTCTAAATTAATTATTCTTCATATTGGTAATTTGATTCTATATATGCAGCTTCATTTAAAATTTTGTTTTGCTTTTGTTTATTAAATTGATGCCTATACACGTACATCAAAGGCAGTGACTGACCACAAGTTAAAGTATCTTTGTGAGTAGGATTTGACTTTTGAGATCAGGATCCAAAAGAGGATGCAAAATGTGATGAAGACACAAGTGAAATGTTAAGTGAACAATTCAAGCAGCAGGAGCACACTTTATATACAATAATTAATAAAATGCATCACATTGGAATAAGAGACTACTGCTGAGGTGAGAGTACACACACCTTGTTTTAATCCACCCACTATTAATTAATTGTATTGCTATTCATTTTTTCACAATGGATGTTTTGAATAATCCAATGAAATTAAAATAAAGTTTGATAGTTCTACACTAGATTACAAGGAGACTACTAAAAGTGACAATACAGAAATGCAGCAAATTAATTATTGTTTACAATAGTCACAAAGTATTTACGGCAGCATAAGCTTCATTGCATTCCATTTTTATATCAACATTCTCTTCAGTAAT